TTGTGTATTTTCCTCCTTCCTATTTTTTCTTACTATCCTTCTCACTCTATTCCTATCCCTCCTCATTCCTCTGCTTTACTTCTACCTACTACCTTGCCCTCCTATTCTTTAACCTACCCCCCTCCAAGAATCCCTCCCTTTTCCTCTCCCTCTACTTTATCCCTTTGCCTTCTCATTTCTTTCTGAATGTAGATTTTTATATCCTTCTAGATATATATGTTGTTCCCTCTTTATCCCATTCCCGTTAATCTACACACCCTTCTTTACCCCCCTTATCCTTTTCTCTCGCTCTCTTATTTCTCTATAGAGTAAGAAGATTTTTACACCCTTCTAAACTTATGTGCTGTTCTCTCTTTAACAGATCTGATGTAAAGTTCCAGAACTACCAGCCCACCTCCCCCATCTAATTCCTCTATATCAGTTCTTCCTTAAACACCTCATTTGTATGAGATAATTACTCTTTTTACCTTTTCCTATACCATTTTGCTTTTTAGAATCACATCATACTCAGCTCTGCCCCAATCTTTCTTTCAAACTACCCAATTACTAATGACACTCTTAGACATATGATTTATATTTCCATGTATAAAAAGTAAACAATTTGTCTTATTGAGTCCCTTGTAAATGGTCTTTATATTTCCCCTGAATCTTAAGTTCTGGTCTTTCAGCAACAAAATCCTGAAAGTCTGTCAATTCGTTTAATATCCATTTTTTTTCTTCAGGATTATACTTAACTTTGCAGGGTATGATATCTTTGGCCACAACCCCAGTTCTTTTGCTCTTTAATATATAGTGTTCCAAGACCTGTGGTCTTTTAGCGTAGCCACTGCTAGGTCTTGTGTAATTCTAATTGTGGCTCCACCATATTTGATTTTTTTTCTTGTTGCTAATAATATTTTCTCCTTTACCTGTGGATTTCAGAATTTGTTCTATAGGTTTTCATCCTAGGATCTCTTTTAGGTAGTGATTGGTGGTTTTTTCCTATTTCTACTTTGCCCTCTTTTTCTAAAACTTTAGGGCAATTAAAAAAATATTTCTTGTATTGTTGTATCAAGATTCTTTTTTTATCATAGCTTTCAGGTAGTCTGATTATTCTTATGTTTTCTTTTCTTGATCTGTTCTCTAGATCAGTTGTTTTTCTTATGAAATGTTTCACATTCTCTTCTATTTTTTTCATTCTTTTTATTTTGTTTTATTATCTTTTGTTCTCTTATAATGTTGTTGGCTTTTCCTTACCCAAATATAACTTTCAAGGAGTTGTTTTCTCCCTTAAGATTCTGGATCTCCTTTTCCAGTTGGTTGACTTTCTTTTCATAATCTTCTTGGTTTGCTTAGGTTGTTTTTTGTTTTTTAGCTCAATCTCTCTTATTTTATATTTAGTCTTTTATGAGTTGTTCTAAGAATCCTTTTTGGGCAGGTGACCATTTGATGTTACTCTTTGGGGTAGGAGAAGTTTTGGGTTTTTTTTGCTTCACTTTATTTTTTATGCTGTACATACTGATATATGGACTTGTATCCCTAGCTGACTAGTACAGAACCTAACACATAGTAGGCACTTAAATCATGCTTTCAGACTGATTAATCAGCACTCTTCCTGCAATTTATCCTCTTAATGAGTTGCCTGTGGCACTGAGAAATTAATTAATTTCTCCAGTGTCTCACAGATGATCTGTATGGAGGCAGAAATTGGACCCTTCTTAACTCTAAGGCCACCTGACTATCCACTTTTTTACCTTGCCTCTATCATAGTAGATACTTAAAGGGGAAGCTAGATGGTGCAATGGTTAGAGCACTGGCCCTGAAGTCAGGAGGACCTGAGTTCAAATCCAGCCTCAGACCAAACTCTTGACACTTACTAGCTGTGTGACCCTGGTCAAGTCACTTAACACCAATTGCCTAAAAATAAAATTTTTTTTAAAAGTACATGGTCTTGTTTTAAATCTTCAGTCTGCTATAGGGTTTAGTCATGTCTGCTAGTAGGAGTGAAGAAAAAAGACCTGTGGTAATTGTGGAATCTGTGGGGAACTCCATTTCTGACACCTCTCTGATTCTGAATTATGCCTACATTTTCAAAACAAAGAAAGAAGTTCAAAAGGGAGGGTTTGTTGTAGATAAAATGAGGCATTAGCTCCATTTAGGGTGATTCCCCTTGGAGCACCTGGGAGTTTGCTTTTTCCTTCACATCTTCTTCCGTTTGAAAGGCCTCCTGCTGAGGTTAATTTTCTTTAAAGCGATCCTACCACTGAAACATCAGTTTGAAGGTGTTCATTTTATCAGCTTCCCTCTCCCTATGGTGCAGATGGAGGGTTTGCAATGAAAAGTGGCATGGGGCTTCTTCCTTTAAACTCATCCCACAAGCCATAGGACATGTTGACAGAGCAGTCCGGAGAGCTTCCCCGCCCCCAACCCCACAAACAAATAATAATGAACCTTGAAGTAGGACATCGGTGTGAAATGAAAATGCTGAATACTTTGTCACTTTCATCACTACCCCATGGCAAGGACTCTTTCACTTCCTACTGCAATCTCTGATTGAGGCCAAGCAGTTGCAATGACTCAGGAAAAAAATCTTGAATGGTTTTTCAGAGATAACAGCAAATTGTTTTGTTTTGTTTGGGTCTAACATATTTACGAAATAGCTATGCTTACTAGCTGTGTGACCCTGGGCAAATCACTTAACCCTGATTGCCTTAAAAAAAAATAGTGGGGCTAGGTAGTACAGTGGATAGAGTACTGGCCCTAGAATCAGGAGGACCTGAGTTCAAATCCAGCCTCAGATACTAACCACTGAGTGACCCTGGGCAAATTCCTTAACCCTCAACTTGCTTCAAAAAAAAGAAAAAAAAAAAGGAAGGGGGGAAGAAATAGCTATGCTCACCTTCTATAAGGAAAATTAAAGAGCTTTATAGTACATTTTAAGTTTTAAAGGTTTTCTTTAATACACATGCAAAAAAGGGAAATATTCATAACTGACCATCACTTAGTTATATTAGGGCAGTTCATAGGATCATAGATTGAGAGCTGGAAGGTACCTTAGAGAACATTAAATCCAAACCCTTCATTTTATAGATGAATAAACTGAGGCCCTCTTAAGTGAATTGTCCAGTGTCACATAAGTAATACATATCTAAAGCAGAATTTGAACTCAGGTCTTTGTTACTCGAGATCCAGTAGCCTATCCACCACAAGTTCTGATTCTGATCTTGGTTGCCATCAGCTTAAGTGGCAAAATTAGCTCTTCCAATGTGCTCGTGCTCTAATGTTTCATAAAATAGCCCTGAACTCAAAGCAAGATCACCTGGGTTCTAGTGCTGTTTCTGTCACTTGAAAGTTGTGTAATGTCAGACAAGCTACTTCACTTTTCTCTGATTTGTTTCCTTCTCTGCAAAATAAGGAGAATATTATTATTGTACCATAAGAGATTAACCTGAAGAGAAAACAGGGTAAGCTGATGCAAAGTGAAGGAAATAGAGCCAGAACAATCCACAGAATGAAAACGAAGACTGTGCAACTTTGATCAATGAGATGACCATTTGTGACTTCACAGGACCAGATGATGGATCTTACCTCCCACCTATCAGCAAAGAGATGGCTAAGGGGGAGAGCTCCTTTCCCTGACTGAAATATCACCCCAATCACCTCCCTTCCTTTCTCTTTAAATTGAAATGAGAGGGCTGAACTTGGCTGCCTCATGTTGCCATTGTTAAAAATCCACCTGAAACACCAAAAATGGAAATATACTGCTAGTCTATGTGGTTTATAAGATTCCCTTTATTAATATAATGCACTTTAAGGCATCTGTTTGCAGCCATGAACAATTTTGTTTTGCTTGATTGTGTTTATTATCAGAGAGGGTACCATTAGGAATGAAAAGCCTTTGGGAAATGACCTTGAGAGTGGTGTTAAAATCAAGAAAAGAGCACCTGTAAAACATTTATAAAGGGGTTGTGAGTTTTGGACTAGATAATCTCTAATATCCCTTCCAGCTCTAAAATGCTATGATTCTATAAGAGTAAACAAAATTTCCATCATCTATAAATAAATAAAAATTACCTCGTGCTCTCAATACATTAATTTAGAGGCATAAGGCAGGAAAACATCTCTCTCTATTTTTACAGACTTACCCAAAGGATTTTAGTGGTTCACCATTTTCTAACAAATAAATACAAACATCAGAGGCCTCCACAATCTGGCTGCAATCTGCCTTTTCAACCTCATTTCATGATACTTTCCTTCCTTTTGTACTCCAGTCAAACTATACTACTCATCTTGTCTCCACATATTTTTTGCACATATCTTTCCCCAGATCAGAAACAGAGCCAACATTTCCAACTGTTGAAATCCTTCACTTTCCAAAATGCTCAGATCAGAGACCATTTCCTCCACCTTTCCCTGATTATCCAGCTAGAAATGATAGCTTCCTTCTTGAATAGTTCATAACCTTTTTTGAGGCATTGGACCCCTTTGGCTGTCTGGTGCAGGGGGATGGGAGGGGAAAGGTAATAAGAATTTATTAAGCAACTATATGCCAGGCACTGTACTAAGCACATTATAAATATTATCTCATTTTGATCCTTACAACAACCCTTGGGAAGTAGGTGCTATTATTATTCCCATTTTATAATAAGAAACTGAGGCAGAGGCTAAATGACTTGTCCAGTGTCACTCTGCTACTAAGTATCTGAGGCTGGATTTAAACTCAGGTCTTCTTGACTTGAGATACAGTTCTCTATCCTCAGCCTTCACCTACATAGCTAGGTGGTGCAATCAGTATCTTCTCAGAAAAATGTTTTTAAATACATAAAATAAAATACATAAGATTACAAAGGAAAACAAAGGGTAGTAAAGAGTAAAATGTAATTTTTTTCCCATCCAAGTTCACATATTCCTTGAAATACCCATGCACCTCAGCTTAAGAATCCCTATTCTAAGAACTCTATTTCTTTGCCAGTCTCTTCTACATACTTTATCTCATTGTACTTGGGTTACATATGTCTTACCTTCCTGGGCAGCTAGATGGCACACATGCTGTGCCTGGAGTAGGAAGACTCATCTTCCTGAGTTCAAATCCTGGTGACCATGGGCAATTTGCTGAACCCCGGTGGCCTCAGTTTCCTCATTTGTAAAAGGATCTGGAGGAAGAAATGGCAAACCACTCCAGTATCTTTGCCAAGAAAACCCCAAATGAGATCACAGAGAGACTGAAATGATTGAACCTTACCCCTCTTCTACTAGACTGTAAACTCCTTGAAGAGAGGTGCTGTGTAACTTTTCTTCTTTGTACCCCAATTCTTAATACCAAGCCTTAAAATAGGAACTGAAAAATGTTGACAGATTGTGTTAGTGAACATAATGTTAGTGAACCTCACTTCTTCCTTTCTCTGTTTGAAATAACACCCTAATTGCCTCACTTCCTTTCTCTGGGAGAGTTGAACTTGTCTGCCCTATCTTAGGACAAACTATAATCAGTTTAAACCTTGGATTGCCACTGTTAAAAATCTACTTGAAGCACCAAGAATCAAAATATACTGCTAGTCTATGTGATTTATAAGATTCCCTTTATTAATATGGAGTATTTGAAAGGCTGCAAAGGGCTTAGATTATTTATTATCTCCAGAGGTGGACTAGAGCCACTTCAGGACAGCCAATTGTTAAATTTGTTGTGTGTACATTTACACCTGGAAAAGTGGCAAATGCTATAAATCAGGGCTTGATTTATTGTTTGATTATTAGGCTAGACCCACGGTGTCAAGATAGATCCCTGAAAACTACATATTGACTTTTGTTTTTCATTTGTTCAGCCATGTCTGACTTCCCGATTCCAAATCCAGCGTTCTTTCCATGATGCTGTAATGTGTTTACAATAATTAATATCAATTACAGGACAATTTCATACAATACTCTATATAATCCATTGGTGCTGCTCACTGCTGGCTTGTTACTTCTTGATAAGAAGTGACACCGGACAGTCCCACGTTCACTTAGGTGTCTATGAACCCCACCCAACGCCTCTGAGGGGCACTCTTAGGGAATAATAAGCTGTCTACAATTCTCAGAGAGTTGCTATCTCCATCACCCCCATCCACCCTTTTTGTGGGTGGCAGTGCTTATCTTCTTAGTCAATCAGGATGGGTTTGTGTGGATTGATCCAATTTGATTTTCTGCTCGTGTCCCCATCCACTGGGAAGCCCTACCTTTCTCCCTTCTGTATTGCATTTCCATTCAGAGACCCCTCTTGTGGGAATCATAGTATAATAGAAATGACTGCCCAAGCATGATTGTACAGTGCTTTACTCAATGCCATAATATGAAAAAGAATAAAATTAGGATCTCTTAAAAAAAACTGTCATGCAGACTGAGTGCTTGTAGCTTCTTCCAGATCACCTAGATAGCCATTATCTAGTCTATAGTCCTACCCCAAACCCAGGACATCCCAGATAGGAGCTAGGTACTTGGACTGTCATTCTCCATTAGCCATTCCCACAAGGAGTCAGCAAATGACTCCAACCAATATTTTAACAAATATTCCTAATACTGCAACTAACAAATATCCCAAATTCTGGGGTTAACAATGTCAACAATGCTAAAGTGAGCGAGCTGACCCCTCCCCCTATGTACTTTCTCATTTATGACTTCCTGGAGGGTTATGGTGTGATGATGAAAAAGTTCAAGAGATTTAGTTTTTGGGTAATTAATCATTTTATTAATTATGGCTAGCAAATAATTAACAAAGGGATGATCATTTGGCCTTCTCTTGTAAATCAAAGATCCATCCTGGAAGTCTGTTGATGCTTGTATACCCTTGGAAGAGTGAGTGTTCCCACCGGTGGGTAATCAACTTGATTGGTTAACAATTGATAAGAAAATTAATGGTGTAATGAAGGTGGGCCTATTCTAATGAGAAGCTGGGAGGTGTGACTTTGATTATGTCACTCTTACTCCCAAATGACCCTCCCCCACCTTGGGCAATCTAGACAAAAGATCTAGACCCCCCTCCCCCTTCACCCAAGCCAGAGTAGAACACAGTGGGCCAGAATTCACCTAGATAAGATTCAAAAGGGGAAGCTAGGTGGTGCAATGGATCAGGAGGACCTGAGTTCAAATCTGACCTCAAACCAGACACTAGACACTAGCTGTGTGAGCAAGGCACTTAACCCCAATTGCCTCACCAAAAATATATATATATATATATATTAGATTCAAAAGAATCTAAATACTAAATACTCTTTAATCAGAACTAAACTTTCCCAGTTGAGTGAGGTCTGAACAAGATTGAGGAGAATGTTAAATCCAATCTCATCATCAGCCCCATTCTTCACAGAGATTGATTTGATCTAGTAGAGAATGAGGAAATAGGAAGGTTAAAGAAAATAAAAATAGAAACAACAACCCAGATCCCCTGATAGTAATTGGTTGTTAATAAGAGAAATTGTCATTTCTATCAATAGTCTATTTAGATAGAAGAAATTCAGGACTTTAAGTAGAGTATCAGTAGCACTGCTATGTGGCCCAAAGTTCTGTCCCTGGAAGTGATGCAGTTTAGGGATGCAGGGGTGCTGGGACCCCAAAATCACAACACATGAGACCTGCCCGAAAGAATTCGACCCAAGCCTTCTTTCAGCCAAAGAAAAGGTTTATTAGAACATCCATCATATTGAGCAGACTGAACATGAGTCTGAACATGGGTAAGCAGTGGCTACATTATAAGAATCTGACCAGTGGCTAGATTATAAGAATCTGAGCATCTTAATGGAGACAAAATGGACCTTATATACAGAAAGACTGTGGGAAGGATCTAGGAGTGGCCAAGTAGTTTGGAGTGACTGGAGGAAGGGTCTAAAGAGATCTGCATGAGAGTGGCTAGTAAACTGGGGTGAACAGAACTCCTGGGACCTGGACCTCTGGCCAAGGGAGAATGGAACCTAGCTAGGATTAGGGTAGGAAATGGCTAGGGGCCATAGGGAGGTAAAACAGTGGAGGCGAGATTAGGTGTAGCCACAATGAAAGGCCAGTTGATGGGATCATAGCCTCAGGTGAATGCCAGAGACCTGGCCATGTGGGAAAGTACAGAAAGATTGTGGGAGAGTGGCCAAGTAGTCCATGAGGTAATAGAATTCCCAAGGGTGGGAAATGGAGCCTAGGTGGGACCAAGGGTGGGAAGTGGCCTGGGGCCATAGTGAGGCAAAAACTTAGGGAGGGGAGATTGGGTGTAGCCACAATGAAAGACCAGTTAATGGGACCATAGCCTCAGGGGAACACCAGAGACCTAGCCATGTGGGAAAGTCCAGGGCTTTTCCCTTTTGGGGCTCAGATCCCAACCCCATCAGAAGCAACTTCCTGCCATTGTTGGCACAAGGACATCATCAGCTGAGTCACTAACCTCAAATCATGGGATAATAGAATAACTGGGATACACTCATGAGCCTCACCTGATATGTGAGATCGTAGGCCACTTCCTATGAGCCATATATGTTATGGCTCAGCACTAAGGAGTTTGGAGCTTTGTGAAGATGCAGCAAATCCTGGGTGGTCCCTTGGTTGCCCCCTTCCACTCCCAGCATGGACTCTTGAAGGAGAAAGGTAAAGGTGAAATGCCTAGTCTACCATACTGCAAATCCCTCCAAGAAACAGTCTAGTTCCTCTGTCAACAAGGGAAATGAGGTTAGTTTGGGATCATTTAATTTTGTCTGAGTTCTTCAAAAATGTATGCTGGAATTACCTCTGCTGTAAGAGAAAGAGTACTTGTCCTGTGATGCAGTTTAGGGGTTCAGGGGGTCCTGGGACCCCAAAATCACAACACGCGGGTCTTGCCTGAAAGAACTCAACCCAAGTCTTCTTTCAGCCAAAGACAAGGTTTATTAGAACATCCATCATATTGGGCAGACTGAACATGAGTCTGAACATGGGTAAGCAGTGGCTACATTATAAGAATCTGACCAGTGGGCTAGATTATAAGAATCTGAGCATCTTAATGGAGACAAAATGGACCTTATATACAGAAAGACTGTGGGAAGGATCTAGGAGTGGCCAAGTAGTTTGGAGTGATTGGAGGAGGGGTCTAAGGAGATCTGGATGGGAGTGGCCAAGGGAGAATGCAGCAGGGTGGGAAATGGCCAGGGGCCATAGTGAGGCAAAGACTTAGGGGAGATTGGGTGTAGCCACAATGAAAGACCAGTTGATGGGACCAAAGCCTCAGGGGAACGCCAGAGATTTGGCCATGTGGGAAAGTCCAGGGTTTTTCCTTTCTGGGGTCCAGATCCCAACCCCGTCATCCTGGATAGGCAAAATCTTCATTTGAATATTGGTGCCAATACTTATTAACTAGATACTCTCACTTCCTCCTAAGCACTAATTGAGGAGACTTTGCTACAAAGGAATCCCTCTTCCAGGGCTCTGGCCTTATTCCTTACATTTTATCTCTCAAAGGCAGGGAGGTGGTACAATTCATAGATCTTCTTGACTCCAAAGCCCAGAGATCTGAGTTCAAATTCTGCATCAGACATGTTCTAACTGTATGAGCCTAGGCAAATTATTTAACCTGTTTGCCTCAGTTTCATTAACTGTAAAATGGGGGTTATGTACCTACTCACAGGGTTGTTGTGGGGATCAAATAAGAAAATATTTGCACAGTGGAAATAAGGTAAGTGCCATACAAATGCTTATTCCCTTCCATCTCTGGCTGTTCCCCATACCTGTAATCCAGCTCCTTCTCACCTATATCACTTGATTCTTTCAAGACTAGGTTCATGTGCTACTTCCCAAAGGAAGGCTTTTCCCCCCTAATTTGCTAGTTGCCCCCAAATCACTTTCCATGTCTTTTTTGTATCTAATTTATTTGTGTGTAGGTGTGTATGAGTTTGTGTGGGTATCTGTATATTGTCTACACAACAAAATATAAACTCCTTGAGGGCAGGTTCTTTTGCATTCTTGTTTGTGATTCCTTAAGCACAGTACCTGGCACTTTCAGACACTCAAAAGCTTGTTGATTGATTGATTGGTTACATCAGAGAGGGCCTAAACTGAAAAAAGAAGCAGTGAATGACCCAAATAATC